AACTACATATACTGTGTTGATTAGCCTTGGTCAGTTCTCTCTGCCATGGAGACTGTCCTTATCTGAAGTGGTCTTCTCCCTTCATCTCCTTTACTCAGGAGAGAGGATAGCGTATAGACAGGTTCAATGCCATGGGTCCTGGAGTCAGACATTCTGAGTTTATAAAAGTCCTGTTTCTGCTACTTACCAGCTGGGCGACCCTGGCCAAATTACTTGGCTTCTCTGAACCTCAGTCTCTTCATTTGAGAATGAGAATGATAATAGATTTATTGGAGATAATTAAAGAGATATAACCCTTGTAAAGAATTTGACAGTGGCTGTCAAATTTTCTAATGTTAGGTATTGTTATTACTTAATCAGTGTAACTGTTGAATCTTTAGGAAGCATTTCTTGATTTATCATCATCATCATTTACTGATTATTTTGCATTCCCTTGCTAGCCTCCATCTTCACCATTATTTTATGTATTTATGTTCTCTTCTGATACCTGTGTTGTTTCAAGCCACTGAAGGAAACAGTTCATTTTTCTTGTCTTTTGGCCTGCTGCTTGATACAGGTTCTGTAGCTAGAAAGGGTAACTCAGCAAATGCTTGATTAGGCTTCTTGTGAATTTTTTTTTCCTTTTTTTAATTTTTACTTTTCAGTTACAGTTTATATTCAGTATTATTTTGTATTAGATTCAGGTGTATAGCATAGCAATTAGACAAGCACTTTACAAAGTGGTTTCCCCCGATATTTCCAGTACCCACCTGACACTATACATAGTTACTACAATATTATTGACTATATTGTAAATTTTCTTGATGAATCTCACACACACTCTACCTTTAAGTGATTTACCCTGAAAACGTAACTCAGTTACCTGTGCCTTCCATAATGTTAAATTCTTGTCAAAAAAGCAGATGATGTGTACAGTCTTTGTATTTCTTAAAGAATCAGAGTGATGTATATCTTTGTCCATCATAATTTAGGATTGGACAATTTTCCTTGGTGGTTTCCATGGGAGTTTTTAAGTTTTCAAAAATATCTCATCATGCAGTGATAGGTTGCTTTCAAAGCAGAGTGCACTTAACTCTGACCAAGCATTCTGCTTCTGACAGACAAACTAAATGTCAGCTAAGCTGTACAAGGCATGGTGGTTAGATGCCTTCTCCCACCAGACTCCCTGGTACTGTTCTCTGAGCACCAGAGAGGGCTGCTGGTACAAAGGTCCGGGCTCATGGAAATGTCCTGGCATTTCCTTGGCCACGTGGACTTTGCCTAGCATCCTGATCACACCTTCCTTAATGACTATGCCTGCAGCCACGCCTCGCCCCCAGATTGGGATAGACTCCACTAACCTTTAATCTTTCAAAGGCAAAATCAAGATTATTGTTGCCACAGGTAAAAAAAGTACTAGAAAAGGCTCCAAGAATTCCTGTTTTTTTTTGTTTCAGATCAGTTTGTTTCTCTTGTTTCATCTTTTATCCACTACTCTAGGCAACTCTGGTCATCCTTTGTTTTTTATGAGGGCAGTTAGGAGTGGATTTTCTCTGGACCGCAGGCTGACGCTCTAACCGCTGAGCCAAACCGGCCAGGGCAGGGAGTGGATTTTATTCTCTTAGGTTGAAAGCTTAGTTTTGTTTAAGGAAATCACGTGGGAGGTTTTGAAAAATTCACACTTTCATTTTCATCATGTCTTACCCAGCCGCTACTGGCATGTTCTGTAAAGGAGTAAAGGAGGTGGGAGGAGTCAGGGATTCTAGAAACGATGGTGGGTGGCCATGTCCCCCTGATTGGAAAGGGAAGTCAGTGAAATAGAGTAGGAACGCAGGACGAGACAAGGCCTGGCAGCAGCATTACTAGTTCAGATGGCTATGTTCATTCTGAGCGGACACCAGTGCAGACATTCTGGGAGGAGGAGGAGGAGGAGGAGGAGGAGGTGGAGAGTCCCCTGTGTGTTGCTTTCACACAGGTGGTAACCCAGTTTTACTGGTGAGAACTACTTCCTGGGAAGGTCAAGGAATTGCTCAAGGAAACATGGTCTTAAATATAGTGCTTAGTACGTGCTGGGCGCTGTTGCCCTTAAACTCATTCTGTCAGGAGATGGAGCCAGGGTTTGACCTCTTTCTTCCTGAACACCTAACCTGTGCCACTGTTTCACTTGTCAGGAAAGGAATCTAAACACACTGACATTGTGCCTGCCTCAGCACTCAGCATTCGTTCAGCAGTCAGAATCCAGTGTTTTTGTCTGTTTTACTGTTCCAAGCCAATTTTTATGTTGAAAAACAAAACATGAAAATAGAGTACACTCAAAGAATGCTTTTGTTTCCCTGGGATTTCCAGCTAATTTTTTTTTAGCTAAGTGTGGTCGGCAACAACAGGGACAGGCTCAATGAACTGTTACTGAGGTAGCAGAACAGACTCGGCAGAGAAACCTGCCCAAGAGCCGCGGGCAGACGGCTCCCGGTGCACGCAGTCAGCCTGTGTGTTCATTTGCTTAAACAGCACGTGACTGCCTGGTGACTGTGCACACGCCACATGTTCTGTTCCTCCCTCTGTTCAGGTGAGTAATTGTGTCTGGAAATCCGTGTGCTCGCAGAGATGGGTTTGTATGGCAGAAGCTTGAAGTTCATTTACTGCGTGCTCACCAAATCTGTATTAGAAGAAGCCCTAAAAGCAGACCCTCTCTAGGGTTTCCTCAATTCACTGTCACTGGTTTCCCTCTTCCTCTGACATATTCTTGACCTTGACACCATCATCACCTTATTTTTATCATTTGACCCACAGGTCCATGCTGCATTGGCACCCAGGTCCCTCCCAGGGTGAACGCCTCACCCTCACTTAGCACTTCCTTAGAACCTTAGAGCAGTGGTTCTCAACCTTCCTAATACCATGACCCTTTAATACAGCTCCTCATGTTGTGGTGACCCCCAAACATAAACATATTTTTGTTGCTACTTCATAACTGTAATTTTGCTACTATTATGTCTTAGGCGACCCCTGTGAAAGGGTTGTTCAACCCCCAAAGGGGTCGTGACCCACAGGTTGAGAACCGCTGCCTTAGAGCATTTCTCTTGTATTGGGCACAATCCACCCTGTTGTGAAGTAATAAGCAAGGGACACACTTTGGAGCAATTCCCTCCCCCATTTAAAAAATCTTAGTTTTTTTGCCCTGGCCCGTGTGGTTCAGTTGGTTGGAGTGTCTTCCTGTACACTGAAAGGTGGTGGGTACAATTTCTGGTCAGGGTGCATACCCAGTTTGTGGGTTTAGTCCCAGTTGGGGTACTTATGAGAGTCAGCCAATTGATGTTTCTCTCTCACGTCAATGTTTCTCTCTCTCTCTCTCTCTCTCTCTCTCTCTCTCTCACCAACCCTCCCTTCTACTCTTTAAAAAAAAAATCAATAAACATGTCCTCTGTGAGGATTAAAAATAAATAAGTAAAATCATTTAGGTTTTTTTTTAATCCTCACCCGAGGACATTTTTCCATTTTTTGTTCAGATAGAGCGGGAGGGAGAGAGAGGTAGAGAGAGAGCGAGAAACATCGACGTGAAGGGACACATCGAGTGGCTGCCACCCGCACGACCAACCAGGGCCGGGGACAAACTGCATCCGAGGTATGTGCCCTTAGCGGGAACCGAACCTGGGTCTCTCTGTACCGCAGGCCGACGCTCCAACCGCTGAGCCAAACCGGCCAGGGCCATTTAGGTTTTTTTAAAAATACATTTTGTTGACTTCTAGAGAAAGAGTTAGGGGGAGAGAGAGAGAGAGAAACATCGATGTGAGAGAGAAACACCGATGGCCGCCCCCCACACACCACCCCACCAGGGACCAAGCCCGCAACTCTGGCATGTGCCCTGACCGGGAGTCAAACTGGGATGTCCTAGTGCATGGGACAAGGTTCATCCACTGAGCCACACCTGCTGGGCATAAAGAATTTAGTTTTGATGTCATTTAGTGAATTGTTTTGGAATGTCATTGTGTTCTAAGGGAAGCAAGCAGCCAGTCTGCACATACTTCATTGTTGAAGAAGAAAGTAGAAAATGGTGCCTTCATGTTGCTGTGTGTAGCTACTGTTTGAGTTAAGTTTACTTTTCCCTCTATCAGTGGAAAAGTTTTCTCTAGCTTTAGAAATACATGCTAATAAAAGAGTCTGAATTATTTTTCTAAATGGATTTCTTTTCCCTGGGTTGGTTGTCAGTTCTGCCGCAGCTGGGAGCCATGGCTGTGGCATGATGGAGCAGTGTGCTGAGACTCTGGAGCTCTGACTCGACTCGGTGCTGCCCTTCTGTCTGTGGCTGGGCGAGCAGCTCGAGTCAGCCCTCTCGCTGCAGAGCGAGGTTTCGGGGGCAGGGGTCCGGCTGTGGGTCTTCACTCTGTTTCATCCAATTCTCTGCTACTTATTTGGGGGGGCTTGAGTTATTTTTGTAATTTATGTAGAAAAGTCATATATGAATATAAGGAAGTGCTACAGATGAGTAGTCTCTTATATTTCTGGAGAGAAGACAAAAAAATGTAGAGTGGAAGTAGGTTCATTTCTGGCAGTCAGTTTCTCTCACTGTTTCCTTAGTGCCTGAAAGCAAATACCAGTCACTGGTTCATGTCATTTATCTCCTAGATTTTAAAATATAACAGTAGGTTGCTTATTCTTTTGCCTTGGCTAAGACTAAAAACAAACCCTAATTTAGTGTTTCTATTTCTAAATATTTTTTACTGTACCAAAGAAATACTTGTTTATAGAAAACAAGTAGGACCAAGTTTTTTTGTTTTTTTTTTTAAAGAATGATAGTCTTGCTATCCAGAGATCAGTGCTGTTAATATTTGAGTATATTTTCGGCCATTTCCCTGTGGGATTTATTTATGTAAGCTCTGCAGCGGGATTGGACCCCATGATTCTGTGTGGTTCCTGCTGCTCTCCCCTTTGATCTTGTGTGCAGCAGGCCTGAGGCACAGCCACTCACAGCCTGGAGACCGCTCTAGCGCCCCGGCTCTGTCTACCGCCCCTGTCTTGTTTTTCAGTGGACGAGTACATCGCCATCGCTAAAGAGAAGCACGGGTACAACATGGAGCAGGTAACGACATGCTTTCTTTTGTTGTAGCTAGAAATGGGTTTTCAGAGCTAGCCCATCGCATTCTTTTGGTTCTGTGTGTAGTGTAGTAGTGTCTCGTCATCAGCAGTGTTGGTGGTTACTCACAGTATTACACGGGACACTGGTCCCTTTCCGCTGCCCGAGGTGAGTGTGCGAGGACTCTCCTTGGTGGGTGGTGTCTGTGTCTCTGCCAGGCTGCAGGTTTTGGGCAGCGGGGGCTCGGAGGTGCGGGATACTGGGGCGTAACATAGTCTTGTGTGAATGTGTGATCTGTCATTTTTGTGGTTGTGTGATGGTTTTTTCCTGATTCATTCTGTCACACTCAAACCTATAGTGTTTTAATATTAATTGTTCTGAGTCACTTTCAGACTGTAAAACTTGGCTCAGGCTTTCAAAATTGTTTGGAACCTGCTAATGAGAAATCCACAGGATTAATTTTTCTCCAAAAGTGTGATATCTTATTTTAGCCTTATTTCTAATTACTATTAAAAATAAGCACATTAAGTTGGATTTGTGCTTTCCTTGGCATTGGCATTGGTCTAGACTTTGTAGGCTGTAAGTTAACATTTTTCTTTTATCCTAATGCCTCGAGGATACCAGTAATTAAAATTAGGTAGAATTGGACTCTTTTTTTTTTTTTTTCTCAGCCTTGGCTTTATTTTTAATTATTCTATCCTGGTAGAACTGTTTAAAAAGGCAGTTTACAGTAAGACAATTCCAGAATCTTTCAAAGCAAGAAATGTGTGCTGTTTCTTTCCAACTCTGCTCGTGAATGTCACCAGGTGACCCAGAAAATGATTGATTCTTAAGTTTTATTGAGAAAGTGTAAATATTATTGGGTGCCTGATTGCTAAATATACGAATTTTTAAGTACTCTGATCTTCAAAAGTATGATCATTTTTAATTCAGATTTTCTCAGGAAAGTATTCCTGAGTTATCTCTCTCGTTTCTCATTTGCTCCTCATCTATTTATATTTTTTTTTTTCTTCCTGAGCTGAAAAAAAACCTTTTATATTTGCAAGGTTTTTAAAACTATATGTTTTATTGATTTTTTTTAAGAGAGAGGAAGGGAGAGAGATAGAAACATCAAAGTGAGAGGGAAATATCCATCGGCTGCCTCCTACTGGGGATCAAGCCCAAAACCTAGGCATGCACCCTGACCAGGAATCGAACCAGAACCTCTCAGTTCATGGGAGGACATTCAATCCACTGAGCTACACTGGCTGGGCTGCAAGTTTTTAAAAAAAATCCTCACCTGAGGATATGTTTTTATTTATTTTAGAGAGAGAGGAAGGGAGAGAAAGAGAAACATTGATGTGAGGGAGAAACGTCAATTGGTTGCCTCCCCTATGCGCCCCAACTGGGGGATTGAACCCACAATCTAGGTGTGTCCCCTGACCCGGAATCAAACCTGCAACCTTTTGGTGCACAGGACTAGGCTCCAACCAAGTGAGCAACCTCACCAGGGCTGTTTGCATTTTTCGAGCAAAGGGATGACAAAGCAGTGGAGTACTTTTGTAACTTAGCTTCTCCTTCCTTGTGCAGAGGCATTAGATAGAGCGTGACCCTGCAAGAGCACAGGGTCCAGAGCCACTCACTGGCTCTGTGATGTTGGCAAGTTACTTAACTTCTCAGGGTCTCCAAATTCTAATGTGTGAAGTGAGAATAATAGACCTTATTCTTTGGGCTGTGGGATAAATGAGTTAGTGCACAAAAGGTCATATATCTGTGAGAACCACGTAGCAGTGTACATGAGTTAGCTATTAATTCTTCTGGGTATAAAAATGTACACACTCTTCTCTTGCCAATCTCATTTCCATTTTAATGTTGCATTCACATCTTTGGCCTAAAATTTTACTGATACTATTTTTCTAGGCTCTTGGGATGCTCTTTTGGCATAAGCATAATATTGAAAAATCATTGGCTGATTTGCCCAACTTTACCCCCTTCCCAGATGAGTGGACTGTGGAAGATAAAGTCTTGTTTGAGCAAGCCTTTAGTTTTCACGGGAAAACTTTTCATAGAATCCAACAAATGGTAAGTAGATGAGACCTTTGATTTTTTTCCCCCTCCATCAGTCCCTTTTCTCTGCAGCATACCTGAGGGACAGGGATGTCACCTGCAGGCATGAGTATTCCATTTTTAATAAAATTCCCTTTACAAACAGCAGCTCACTACTTGCTGTTGGGGGAACGAGAGGCTGCAGATTACAGCAGTGAAGCATTTCCTGGTGCTTCGCAGCTTGACGGCTGTGAGTCTTCCCCGCCCCAGCCTCTCGTTCAGATTCCCCAGAAGGTTAGTGTAGGGAAGTGGTTTTCCATGATTTTCTGATGTAGTGGAGCCCTGTCAGCCTGGAAGAGGTTTGCTTATTTCTCACAATCTATAATGCTTGTTTGGTGGGTTTCTACCACAAAGCCCCACTGAATTACGTTAGAGCTAAAGTTAATTTTTTTAAAAGTAACCCACAAGTGATTTTAGAAGCTTTAGGTGTGTGAAAACTCTGATTCATCTTAAACTGACTTTACAATCTTTCATGGGCTTTTTCACCCTCAGTCACACTTAGTAATTTGAAAATGTGTTGAGGAGAGTCCTTTCATGAATTGTGTTGGACAAGAGCTGTGACTTACGACATTTCTGAATACATGAGAGTGATCCTAATTGAGTGTATTTAAACACATTTGATTCTGAAAGGCTAGTTTAAAATTTAAATCAATTCATTTTTTATATTTAGCTTCCGGATAAGTCTATAGCAAGTCTGGTGAAATTTTACTACTCTTGGAAGAAGACGAGGACTAAGACCAGTGTGATGGATCGACATGCTCGCAAACAGAAGCGTGAGCGGGAGGAAAGGTCAGTGGCTCCTGGGGGATGTCTCACCATTCAGGGACCTTCGGAGTCCCTAGAATCCTGTGAGCTGGTGGACACACAAAGGAAAGATAGTGACCAGATTTCACTAGTGCCTTCCTGCTGGAACCAAGCTTACAAGTATGCTTCACTCACTGTTGATGGGCTGTGTTAGTGCATCAGGGTTAGTTTCTGCGGGCATTTTTTTCACTGCTCTTTCTGCGGTCAGTAACTTCCAGTTGAATAAGTGGACTTTCCCTCGTATTTTTTCATGCCCCTTATGGCAGTCTTTTTATTTTATTTTTTTAAATTGATTTTAGAGAGAGAGAAGAAATAGTGTAGGATAGAAACACTGATTTGTTGTTCTACTTATTTATGCATTCATTGGTTGACTCTTGAATGTGCCCTGACCAGGGATCAAACCCTTGACCTTGGCATATCGGGACAACGCTCCAACCACCTGAGCTTCCCAGCAAGGACAAGGGTGTCTTCTTTTAGTAGCAGGGATCTATTATATCCTAGGTTGAGATCTGTTTGGTGTACAGATTCATTCAGCATGTTTTCATATTTGGTATGTTAAAAGATGCAGTGCGGTTTAGGTTTCCTTCTTCCCTCTCTGACCATCTGTTCTGTGTATTGTGAGTGAGAAACATTTCATGATTTCTTAGTGAATGCTAGTTCTACGGCTGCTTAGTGAAAGGATACATCTTAGTCATCACTTCCTCAGCTTTCTGTACAGTGCAGCACAGTGGGAGTGGCTGTGTGCTCACACAGAAATAGGCTCTAGGCTCTAGGCTCTAGGCTCTAGGCTCTGCTGGGAAGGTTCTGCTCACTCGTAGGCCAGTTTTAGTTCAAATACTCCTTACCCGAGCTCCTTTTTCCTCAACTCTAAAATGAAGATGCTTAAAGTCCAGAAGCCGGTATGCAACATAATGGTTTTTGTATTGGGTTGGTGGTACTATAGGTGGCTTTTTAAAGTTATATTTTCCACATTTTGTATAATATATTATTTTTGTAAATTAGTAATAATTTGGCCCTATTGCAGAAGAGTATTTTATGATTTCAAACTAAAGAGAAGAACGTGGGAACAGATTGAGAGCTGAGTATTACTTTTGGAGAGTGATGCTGAGTATCTCCAAAGCTCTTTCCAATGTAAGAGTCTGTGATATTGCTGCCCTTGAGACATTGGCGTGTTTTTTGGTCTTCAGCTTACATGCAAATGGGTCTGTTTTAGTACTCTTTTTTTTTTTAATTGTTGAAAGTGTTACAGATGTCCCCTTTTATCCCCATTGACCCCCTCCTTCCCACTCCCATCCCCCTCCTGCCTTCCCCAACCTAATGTCCGTGTAGATTAGTACTCTTAATAACCAAAGAAGTGTGGCAGACCTACTCACTGAGTGTTGTTAGTGTTGCAGCAACTTTTGATTAAAAATTTGTATTTCCATTGTCTGTCAGGTCTCGTTGACTCTGTGTAAGTTAAATTTATTACTGCACACAGATGCAGTCTACTCAGCTGAAATCAGAATCAGATACAAAAATAGATTGGGATTTATTGTGCTGGGCATGAAATGACACCCCAGGTGGTCTCTTTGCTCCCACCTCCTGCGTGTACCTTCACCACTTTCAGGATGCAGACTGAGGAGGGCACCCTGCTGTGACAGGAGCACCCGAAGCTTGTCTCTGATGGGACCTGCCTGTGATAGTAATGGCCGTGACTGGGCAAAATTCCCTCAACCCCAGGTCTTTCTTTTCTTGGGCACTCTTTCCTCTTTCCTCAGCCAGAACTTATACTACCTGGGCCTTGGAGGGTGGGGGGTGAGGAGAAGCTAGGGCAGTGGGCGTGGTCATCATCTGGGGTGGATTCCTGACACCAAGTGGGCTGTGGACATTTGAAAACATGAACACTCTGCGCCACCACCGTTCAGTTGACTTCATTGTGGGCCAGCTGCTTGGGACCTTGTTTTCTCATGTTGATGATGCTCCCAACTACCACAGAGCTCTTGCCTTTTAAAATAAGAACTACTTCATGGAAGGGTATAAGCAGAAGCATTTGAAACACCACATCAGTTGAGTATCCTTTCTGAGATGAACTTAGTTTAAAATACCAGGTGTCCCGCAACCAGAAAGCCACTCCTGTGCTCGGACTTGGGTGGTCAAGTGCTGGCAGGTGGGGCTTGGGATGCATTTTTACTTGGTGAATTTGTTTCCAGTGCAGTGGGATTTCATTCTTTTTTTTTTTTTTATCCTCACTCGAGGACATTCTTCCACTTTTTGTACAGACAGAGTGGAAGGGAGAGAGAGGAAGAGAGAGAGAGGGAAACATCGATGTGAAAGGGACACATCGAGTGACTGCCACCCGCACGACCAACCAGGGCCGGGGACAAACTGCAACCGAGGTACATGCCCTTAGCGGGAACCGAACCCGGGTCTCTCCGGACCGCAGGCGGACGCTCTAACCGCTGAGCCAAACCGGCCAGGGCTGGGATTTCATTCTTGAACAATTTCTCACTTACATCTAATGGCATGTCCCAGTTCTCCACTAGGTGATTATGAGAAAATAAAGTAAACGTCCTAAATTTTATCTTTTCAGTTGAGAGAAAACACTTCACATATGTAAAGCAACAGGTTTCTAGGCCTGGTTTGGGAGTTAGAAACTATATTAATAATTTATTTGTCATTTAGACTAAAAGAACTATGGAATCGATATTTTATTTGAATTATAAAAATGTTTTTATCTCAGTAGTCTGAAAACATACAAATTTCACATTAAATATGTCATTGTTAACTTATCGGTTTATTTGTATATTAAGTAAAAATAATACAAAATAATCTTTCAGTAACTTTTTCTTGTCTTTCAGCGAGGATGAACTAGAAGAAGCAAATGGAAATAATCCAATTGACCTTGAGATTGATCAAAATAAGGAGAGCAAAAAGGAGGTATTTTTTTCCCTTTAGGCAAACAAATTTTATTGCTAGCCCATGAGCAAAACATTCATTCCTCTTACTTATTCTACTTAATATGTTAAGTGCTGTATCATGGTTTATCTAGGGCGGAGTCCTCAATGCCATCTTTCCTGAGCTGCTGGCTCAGGCCGTTAGAAAGTGGTGTTCGTGAGGCCTGGTCTAGAGCATGGCTCCTCCCCTCAGCCTTGCAGCTCGCCCAAGCTGTCACTGGCCCAGGGCTCTGCACACTCTAGGTCAGGAGGTGACAGCAGAGGGCTGACAGGGACTCAGTGCAACTCCTCTCATTACTCAGAAGAAACAACAGCACAGGTCATACGAGGGTGAGCCTCACACATGGTGAAGTTTTAATCACTCACATCTTGAAAGTCATTATGCCAGAGGTTTCTGGTGTCTGGATTCAGGAGGCCCATGAAACCCTATAATTGTGGATGACTTTTGTAAACTGTTCACCGAGAACAGTGGGGTGTCGGGATGATCTTAGCATTTGAAGTGGGAGTTGCACTTTTGCATTTTGTCCTTTCGTAAAATTGAGTAAAGCATATGTGGGACCACCAAGGGCCCTCCGAGGAAACCCAGGGCTCCGTGGCTCAGGTCAGAAACCCCACAATCCAGCACTACCTGCAGCAGCCTGGGGTGCCACCATGATGCCTGGAGGATAGCTCCTTAGTCAGTTGGAGTGCTAACCCCACTGTGGATATATGGCTTTGACTTGTGGTCGTATGAGAGTTTTTCTGAAGGCAGAGCCTCTACTTTCAGTAAAATCTCAAGGGTTCTCTATCTCAGAACATTCTAAAGCATGAGAACAGCAGTTTTATTTTATTTACTTATTTTATCCTCACCCGAGGACATTTTTTTCATTTTTTGTTCAGATAGAGTGGGAGGGAGAGAGAGGAAGAGACAGAGAGAGAAACATCGACATGAAAGGGGCACATCGAGTGGTTGCCACCCACACGACCCAACCAGGGCCGGGGACAAACTGCAACCGAGGTACGTGCCCTTAGCGGGAACCAAACCCGGGACTCTTCAGTCTGCTAGCTGATGCTCTAACTGCTGAGCCAAACTGGCCAGGACTGTTTATTTGTTTGTTTATTATTTTTATTTTTGATTAATCGTCACGTGAGATATGTTTTTCCATTGATTTTTAGAGAGTTGAAGGCAGAGGATAAAGAGAGAGAAACATTGATGTGAGAGAGACACATCGATTGGTTGCCTCCTGCACAACCCTGACTGAGGCCAGGGAGCAAACCTGCAACCTAGGTACCTGCCCTTGACCAGGAATCAAACCCAAGACCTCTGGGTTTTTGGACCGATGCTCTACCTACGGAGCCAAACTGGCCAGGGCTAGATAAGTTTTTAAGGCTTCTTTCCCAAATGGGAAACTAGTAATTCTTTTCCAGTGGCACTTTTGCCAGTGATTTATATGAGAGTCCAGATAACAAGGGTTAGCTCAATTATTGTTTGGGAAATCAAATTATACTTGAAATATTTAGTAAGCTTTGGTTTTATTGCATTGTCTGTTAGGTTCTTCAGTGGAACATTTTAAATAGAAGAGAAAAGGGTTGATTTTATATTAATTTTTGTAATTGCTTTATAGGTCTTTTCTGATGCAGAAAGAAAAATAGTTAAACCTTAGTTTGTTTACACGCTAGAGTTTTATTAAAACAGACACACCACCAATAGGTGGTCTGTGCTAAGCAGCATAGTGCTGTGACAGTGCCGTGTGCTGCTGCTGGTGTTGTCACCTGTGGTTTGTCAGCGCCTGTGCCAGGACCCAGCTGCCAGCGTCGCCTGCCTGCGAGATATTTCCAGCTTTATCAGCAAATGTTAATACTCTTAACAAGACGAGATTATGAACAATTACAGAAACTTCTTGTTCTTAAATTGGTCAACAGTAAGACACTGTCTTTCCTTGCCAAGATTTCACTGCATTTCATTTCTGGAGTTTTTAGATTCAGAGAAAGCACTTAAAACAATGAGCAGCAGTCATGCATTTAAAATGACTACATATATTTTTTGAAGCAAATTTTTATGGCACAGTTGCCCTTAAAAGTTGTGTCATTTTCAAAAAAAGAAGTGAAAAAGTCATAGTTTCGTATTGATATTTATATATTTTTAAACTTGTATAAAGATTTAAAGAATTAAAGTAGATCTTTATACATGTGCTGAATCTTTTCTTTCTGTCTTCCTGTGTCCATTTGGATCGCTAGGTGTGAAGATGAAAAGCTCCTTATTCATATCTATATAGCTCAGCAGACAAGTACAGGGTTTTTCTTCCTCTGTTACCACAGGAAGCTGAGAATGCTTCCTGCCAGAGGCTTCAGTGGCAGAGTAAGGGTGTGTCTACAAGGAGGAACTGGGGTCCACTGCGGAGTGTGGAGCCCAAACGCAGTAGCCAGTGCTTTGGTCTGTGAACTACTTATTGGAACTGGTAGATGGAAACTGTGATAGAGCCTGGTATTTGTCTTAGATTGTTTGGAGCCCTGTTAAGGAAATATACATGTTACTGTTTACTTGGCGTTCAATTTTTTAGTGTCTCATTTATCAAAATATGTGTATCATACAGGTGCCCCCTACTGAGACAGTTCCTCAGATCAAGAAAGAAAAACATAGTACTCAAGCTAAAAATAGAGCAAAAAGGAAGCCTCCGAAAGGAATGTTTCTTTCCCAAGAAGACGTGGAGGCCGTCTCTGCAAACGCCACTGCCGCGGCCACGGTGCTACGGCAGCTGGACATGGACTTGGTCTCAGTCAAGCGGCAGGTACCCACAGCTCGGTCCGGGAGGAGCTGACTGGTGCTCTAGACGTGTTTCCCTTCTCACACACGTGGGTGTTCTTTCCACGAATCTCAAAAGGGCATTTTTTCCTTAAGGAGTTGGACAGAAGCTCTTAGGTGCTGGCTCACTGACTATTCTTAAATTCACTTTGAAATTGATGTTAAGTGTGTGTATATATAAATGTTTGTGTGTGCGCACTGATTTTCACATGGTAAACAGACCCAGCTCACCTCTCTCTGAATCAAGAAATGGAACGATGCCTCCAAGCACGGCATCGCCGCCCTGGCCTGACGCGTGCCCTCTCGCTCATCACCACCTTCTCCGGCACGTGGCCACTATTCTGACTTGTAAAACCACAAACTACTGGTATCCATTTTTGGATGTAATATAAAAATGACATGATGTGGTTTCTTTCATATCCCGTTTTCATTCAGCATGTGAGATCCGTCCATGTAGTACAGAGCCATGGTTCTGGTTCTTTCTTACTGCTGTGGAAATGCCCTAGAGTAGACGTTTGGGTCATGGAAGATAACATTGACGTGAACTTTTTTTTTTTTTTTATCCTCACCCAAGGATATTTTTCCATTTATCTTCAGACAGAAGGGGAGGGAGGGATGAAGAGAGAGAGAGAGAAAAACATCGATTGGTTGTCTCCCGCATGACCGCATCTAGGGTCTGGGATGAACCGCAACCCATGTACGTGCCCTTGATCTCAAACCTGCAACTCTTTGGTCCTGGGGCTGGCACTCAAACCGCTGAGCCAAACTGACCAGGGTGACATGAACATGCTTTTACATGACTCTTGGTGCGCTGTGTGCACCCTTGTTGGGTGTGTACCTCAGTGGGGTTGCTGGATTAGGGTGTATGCAGTGTCCAGTGTTAGGAATGGTGCCCACAGGTGTCCAGAGTGGTGGTGTCAGTTCAGGTGAGTTCTGGTTGCATTGCATCAGGTTCCCTAACTGTACCACTATTAATACTTAGGGCTGGATAATTGTGGGGAGTTGCCCTGTGCATTGTAAGATGTTCGGCAGCATCTCTGGCCTTTCCCCACTAGATGATCAGAGTGCCCTCCTCCCACCAGCTGTGACAGCACAAATGTCCAAGGCCTTGTGAGATTGCCCCTGGAGCAGGGGACGCAGCTTGTCCGGGTTCCCATTCAGTGCTTATCTTTTCAGTCTCTTAATGGTATCTTTTGATTAACAGAAGTTCGTACTTTTACGGTGGTCCAGTTTCTCAGTCTTGCCTTTGTGGTTAGTGCTTCTTGAGTTTAACAGCCTTCCTTCAGGTCAGGAAGATGTTATGTCATGTGTACCAGTGTTGTGTACAGTTTGGTCCTCAGTCCACCTGGAAGTGCTTTTCTGTGTATGTTGTTATGTGTAGGATCACTATTTATTAGTCTTTTTTTTTTTTTAATCTTCACCCAAGGATATTTTTCTATTTATCTTCAGATAGAGTGGGAAAGAGGGAGAGAGAGAAACATAGACGGGAGAGGGACGCATCACTGGTTGCCTCCTGCACGACCCCAACCAGGGCCAGGAATGAACTGCAACTGAGGTATGTGCCCTTGACCGGAATCGAACCTGCAACTCCTTGGTCCTCGGGCCAACACTCTAACCGCTGAGCCAAATCGGCCAGGGCCGTTTGTCTATTTATATGGAATGCTGTTTGCTGAAAAGACTGTCCTTTCCCTGTTCTAGAGCAGTGGGACCTTTGTTTTCAGTCCACTGTCCATGTGTACGGTCAGGTTGCTGTGGCCTGTTCGTCCCTTCTTCACCAGTATGTACTGTCTAATTCTAGGTAGATTATAAATCCAGGTATCTGGTAGTACAAGTCCTCCAAGATTGCCTTGGCTATTCATTGCCCTTTGTTTTTCCCTTTAAAATTTAGAATCACCTTCTCAATTTCTAGAAAAATAATTCTGCTAGGATTTTGATTGGGATTATATTGAATCTATAGTTCAAAATAGAGAATTAACATCTTCTGATTCATGAACTATCTCCCCACTTAGAGACGTCTTTAATTTCTGTGTGTTTTGTTTTCTCTGCATAGGTCTTGTGTATTTTTTGTTAGAGTTATTCCTAGATATTTGGTACTTTTTTGATGTCCTTGTAAAGGATATTGTTTTTTATTTATTTATTTATTTATTTATTTATTTATTTATTTATTTAATCAATCCTCACCCGAGGACATTTTTCCTTTTTTTTTTTGTTCAGGTAGAGTGGGAGGGAGAGAGAGGACCAGAGAGAGAGAGAGAGAAACATCGATGTGAAAGGAACAAATCAAGTGGCTGCCACCCACACGACTGACCAGAGCCGGGGACAAACTGCAACCGAGGTACATGCCCTTAGCGGGAACCGAACCTGGGTCTCTCAGGACCGCAGGCCGACGCTTTAACCGCTGAGCCAAACCGGCCAGGGCAGGGATATTGTTTTTTAAATGAATCCTTTTCTGCTCTGGCCAGTGTGGCTCAGTTGGATTGAGTGTCATCCTGTGCACCAAAGGGTGAAGGTTCGATTCCTGGTCAGGGCACAAACCTAGGTTGTGGGCTTGTTCCGGTCCGGTCCGGGCATGTGCATGAGGCAGCCGATTGATGTTTCACTTTCACATTGATGTTCTCTCTCTCTCTTCCTCTCTCTAGAATCAATAAAAATAAACATGAGTCCTTTTCTACTTATTTTTTTTTATTTTTAATTTTTTATCCTCACCCGAGGACATTTTTTCCATTTTTTTGTACAGATAGAGTGGGAGGGAGAGAGGGGAAGAGAGAGAGAGAGAGAGAAACATCGACGTGAAAGGGACAAATCGAGTTGCCGCCACCCGCACGACCAACCAGGGCCGGGGACAAACTGCAGCCGAAGTATGCGCCCTTAGCGGGAACCGAACCCGGGTCTCTCTGGACCGCAGGCCGATGCTCTAACCGCTGAGCCAAACCGGCCAGGGCGTTTTTCTACTTATTTTTTTATCCTCACCCAAGGACATTTTTCCTTTTTTTTTTTTTTAAATCCTCACCCGAGGACATTTTTTGATATTTTGTTCGGACAGAGTGGGAAGGAGAGGGAGAGAGAGAGAAACATTGACATGAAAGGGACACATCAAATGGCTGCCTCCTGCATGAGCCAACCAGGGCCAGGGACAAACTGCAACCGAGGTACGTGCCCTTAGCGGGAACCGAACCCAGGTCTCTCTGGACTACAGGTCAACGCTCTAAGCGCTGAGCCAAACCAGCCAGGGCCCTTTTCTACATATTTATGGCTAATGTGAGAAATGGCTTGTTTTAATCTGATTTTACATAGTACAGAAACTGAAAATTTAGCTTAATAGCCTAGTATTGTCTTTTTATTTGTTTCCCCTCTCTCTCTTCCCCACTCCCCCTCGCCTTCCTGTCTCCCTCTTCATCTCCCTCTATCCAGAATTCATGGCAAATTGTGGACTGATGGTTTACTTTTAGTTTTTGCTGCTTTGACTTGTTAGTCTTGATTGCTCCCTTGGAAGGTTAAATAGGAGACCAGCTATCATTTCAGAGATGAGAAGAGTGGGTTCAGTGGCCCAATCTTTCTACTGGTGCAGGGAGGCGGCACAGACCAGGACCAAGCATGCCCCCTTGAACCAGAGGATTGGCTCCTTGTCTTGGCTGCTGGCACAGCTGCATTCTAATCTTAGGAGAATCGCTTAATCTTCTTGGGCTTCTTTTCAAATGAGCAGATCACTCCTTGCCTGCCTGATCTCCCAGGGTGTCAGGGCTGCTGTGTGAGAGCGTGCGGAGCTCTGTTTGCACTGGAAGAGCTCGCTCTGCTGGGGCCGTGAGCTCTCGGGTGCACTGTCATCCTCCTCTGCAAGGAGACCCCTGTCCCTCTTCCGTGCAGACCTAGTGCTTGCTGCTTGACATTCAAGAAGGAAAAAGAGGCCCTTCTTCCACCGAGGTGTTGCTCACTCTGTAGTATGACAGATAAGAGCTTCTTTGGTTTTCAGAGCCAGGGTGGGTCAAGAGCAGGTCTTTTTAATTTGAAGGTAACTACTCAGTTCACATTGTTGAAGAGAGAGGGCTTAGAGTCTGACTTGCTGAGGGAGGACAGGTTGTTTACTTCCCACAACCTTTTAGGGCTCCTGCCAAACGCACTTCTGGACTCAAAATGATAGTCACACAGCGACGTTTTATTCTTGAAGCTCTGTGTTAGGTTGTGTATCAGGGAACCAACCGTTCACTGGAAAATGACAAAACCTGACTATAGCTTAAACAACTAAGGATTTATTTTTATCAAATAGCAAGAAATCCCAACCTCAGTGGTGCTGGCGTTAGTTCATCTGTTCAGCAGTGCTCTCAGGGACCCTGATTCTTTCACATTTCCACTCTGCATTTTTTGTTTTTGGCCTGTCACCTTGCTTGTTGCATCTGTCCCCTTGGAAGTTGCAGAAGCAGTCTTGTAACCTTCACATCTGCATCCAAGGTCATGAGAAAAGGAGATGGAGGCAGGGCTACCTCGTTGGGCCCTTTCGCATTACCAGAAACTCCTAGACTGTCTGTGTGCCAGAGCTTTGCAGCAGGGCTCCAAGGATAAGTGAGAAGGGGGCGGAGACCATTGTGTGAGCCAGCGAACGGAGCCTGTCGATCAGATCTTTCTGAGTGGAGAATAAAACGGTCTGACATTAGAGAATAATCACTAAACACACAGCAGGGTAGAAAAAAGAAAGTTGAGTTCAACCAGGAGGTCTAAGTAGGGCTGCTTTTTTCCATTTAAATGTTGATGACTTTTGCCCTGGCTGGTTTGGATCAGCGGTTAGAGCATCGGCCTTTGGACCAAAGAGTCCAGGATTCGGTTCCTGCTAAGGGCTTGTACCTCACTTGTAGTTTGTCCCCAGCCCTAGTTGGGGTTGTGTGGGTGCAACCAGTTGATGTGTATCTCTCACATCAGTATTTCTCTCTCCCCCCACTCTCCTCTCTCCCTTCCTCCCACTTTGTCTGAAGATAAATGCAAAAATATCCTCAGGTGAGGATTAATAAATAAATAAATGCTGATGACTTCTGCCCTGGCCAGTTTGGCTCAGTGGTTAGAGCATTGGCCTGAGGACTAAAGGGTCATGGGTTCGATTCCCGGTCAAGGGCATGTAACTGGGTTGCAGGTTTGATCCCTGGGTCCAGTCGGAGTTGTGTGGGAGGCAACCAATTGATATGTCTCTCTTATATTAATGTCTCTCTCTCTCTCCTCCTCCTCCCTTCCTTCCACTCCATCTAAAACGTCAATGGAAAAGTATTCTCAGATGAGGATTAACAAAAAATAAGATAAAAAGTAAATGCCTATTACTTTTGTACCCTCTTACCCAGTTTGTCGCTACCCTGGCTTTCTTTCCAATTGGCATTAAGCTGGCAACAAACCCTTAGTCTTTTTTTTAAATCCTCATCCAAGGATATTTTTCCATTTATCTTCTGAGAGAGAGAGAGAAACATTGATGTGAGAGAAACACATCAATTAGCTACTTTCTACATGACCCTGACCAGGGCCCAGGACCAAACCAGAACCAAGGTATATGCTTTTGACTGGAATCGAACCTGAGACTCTTTGGTCTGTGGGCCAGTGCTCTAATCACTGAGCCAAACTGGCAAGGGCTATTTATTTTTCTTTTAATTGATTTTTAGAGAGAGGAACGGGAAGAGAGGGAGAGGAAGAGAAATATCCATCAGCTGCCTTCCACACACGCCCTGACTAGGAGTCAAATCTGCCACCTTTTGGTGCATAGGACTACGCTCCAACCAATGGAGCCACCCAATCATGGTGACAGTGGCTATTTCTAATATGGAAAATGCATCAGGAACAGAGCTGTAGGTTGATGAAAGTTTAGAGCTGACTTTTAGTTTTGAATCTGTGGATGTTTTGCCTTATAGCCATTTATTCAATCTTATATTTTATGGATTTTAGAGAGAAAATGCATGTGTTAATAATAAGATAGGTTGGTCTCCTTGGAAAATGCATATTATTTCTCTGGGCCAGTTTTGGGCTCCCCCAGTAGGGGACGTCCAGGAGGCAGCTGGTTGATGTTTGTCTCTCACATTGTTGTTTCTATCTCGCCCCCTCTCTCTAAAACAATCAATAAAAAACCTATTAAGCCCTGGCCGGTTTGGCTCAGCAGTTAGAGCGTCAGCCCACAGACCAGAGAGTCCCAGATTTGGTTCCTGTTAAGGGCACGTACTTCAGTTGCAGTTCGTCCCAGGCCCTGGTTGGGGTTGTGTGGGTGGCAACCAATCAATGTGTCTCTCTCACATCGATGTTTCTCTCTCTCTCTCTCTCTCTCTCCTTCCCTCCCTCCCTCCTGCTCTATCTGAAGATAAATGCAAAAAAGAAAAAATGTCCTTGGGTGAGGATTAAAAAAAACATATAAAAAAAAAGAAAAATACACATTACTTAATTGTAATGCACTGTCTGCCCAGTGCTGTATTGTGTGCCGTCAGCTAGAGTGGACCGTGACATTCTAACTGGGTTGCAGGGGGACGTGCAGTACTCTAGGCCCTGACTCTTGAGGATTCACTGGTTCCCTGCCAGAAGTTTCTAGGCCTAGTTTTTAGCTCAAAGAGAATTCACTGACCATAATCTGAGTACCATGCAGTATTTTATGGGTTCCTGGTAACTGAATGCTTAGAACAAGAGTCTAAGATGATGCTGTTCAACCAGGTAGCCAGTAGCCACTTGTGGTTACGTTTGTTTGGATAAATTAAGATGCAAACAGCTGAAAGTTCGGTTCCTGAGCTGCGCGAGACACATCTCAGTGCTGGGCAGCAGTGTGGCGGCAGTGGCTGTGTCGGGCCGCATGGCTCCGGCTGTTTTCAGGGTGGGGAGACTTCTGTTAGGAGTGCTGGTCCCAAGACCTCACTGTGAACAACGCTCTGGGATTTTCTTCTGATTTGTACCTTTTCAAAATCAACTAAAGCAATCTTAGTAACTCATTTATGGTTTTATTGCGAGGTGAATGTTGTGCTTGTTTCTGATATTTTTCTTCTCTTTTCAGTTGTCTTTTTGGATGTGACACTGATGCACAAAGAGTTGGATTGGGCTGTGTTTCTGGTAGACGTCAGACAGGGCCAGTTTCTGGTCCATACAGCACTGGTCTTCTTTACTAGGCCTTCGGTCACACAGTGTGGAAATTTTTTTCTGCACATCCCCCAGCCCTTTTAAACCTTTTAGAGGAAGTAAAACATAGGAGGAAAGTATATGTGAAATTGGAATTCTGTGAAATGTTAGTACTTGAAAATGAAAATTTTAAAATTACATAAGTATAAAAGGTTTTTTAAAAGAAAGAATTACTCACCCTGGCCGGTTTGGCTCAGCGGTTAGAGCGTCAGCCTGCGGTCCGGAGAGACCTGGGTTTGGTTCCCGCTAAGGGCATGTACCTCGGTTGCAGTTTGTCCCAGGCCCTGGTTGGTCATGTGGGTGGCAGCCATTCGATGTGTCCCTTTCACGTCGGTGTTTCTTTCTCTCTCTCTTCCTCTCTCTCCCTCCCACTCTGTCTGAACAAAGGATGGAAAAATGTCCTCAGGTGAGGATTAAAAAAAAGAGAGAAAAGAGAGAGAGAGAATTACTCAAAAGTGTTCATTTGACAGGGTCCTTCATCACCATCTCCACACCACCCCTTCCTACCTCTAAAATCCCTGCTTTTCTACATTTGCCTAAATAAGATTTCTGCTTTCAAGAGCACCTTCTGCTCCTTCATGTCTCTGATGTTTTTCTTGGGAAAATGAACCTATTCCTCCCCTTGCTTTCTTATTTGCTCGTGTGGTTATTCAGGAATGAAAAGTGCTAGGGTTTGATTTCCGCCGGTGCTCAGCACAGAAATGCCCTGTGACCGTAGCTGAAGGAGCAGGCTCTCTGACCCCGCTTATCCAGGAGTCTGCAGAGCTCCTGAGGGCCGTGGGCCGTGGGCTGGTTTGGAGTCTCCGTGTCGCTCTTCACTGGGGAAGGGCAGTGAAAGAGCGGGGACGTGGGGAAGCTGATTTTTGAGAAAACGACTGAGTCACAGTTGGTCAAATTGGGCTTGTGGAAAGCAGACATATTGCTTTCTTATGTTGACTTCTACCCCATGTGATCTTTTCTCTCTTAGATTCAGAATATTAAACAGACAAACAGTGCTCTCAAAGAAAAACTTGATGGTGGAATAGAACCGTATCGACTTCCAGAGGTAGGATTGTGTTAACATCATCTCAGAAGCCATACCCTAGTTTCGTGTGTTTCAAAGTGATAGCCATGTGATATGTCTCCAGTACACACCTGTTAGAAAGAAAGGTGCAGACGGAATTCTATAAACGTAGTCAATGTTAAAATTCTGATATGAGAAAAAGATTTATTAATCCTTGTAAGGATGCATGGGGTGCTAATATGACTCATTTGGATGTCCAGGTCATTCAGAAATGTAACGCGCGCTGGACCACAGAGGAGCAGCTTCTTGCCGTACAAGGTATGGAGAGGTCCTTCTCGTAAAGGGCTTTGAGGGAGAGACTTGTGCCCAGCACAGTGCTCACACTAAAACACATTCTCCGAAGATTCGTTCTCGCAGTGGAAGTCATTTGAGCCACATTACCAATTTCCTCTGGGTCTCACAAGATTAAAAATCAGTGTGGAGGTGTCCCTTTTAAAGGTGTGAGTGGTTCGCTTTAACAGCCACATGCTGGGTCTTGAATAGTCAGGAAAGTACAAAATCCTGACGAGCAGACTGAGTGTTAGGGTTTTAAGGTTGGGGGTGTTCTAGTCCTAGGGATCCTGAAAAGATTGATGCAGAATGTCCACAAACATAGAGTAATTGCTGGGTGACTTCACTTTCCATGTGACATCTGATGGCCCAGTACCGATTTCTGGATGACGGGGCCACACTGGACTGCATCATTCATCTGCGGAATGCATCTAGACTATCACTTTCTCACGGGTCTGGGACACTGAGACAGCGCCTGCTGCTAAAAGCCTGTATGTTTTCTAGTCTGGATGCGAGTGAGTCTAAATTGTGTGTGTTTTTTAATTGGTTTTCTCTTGTATTGAGTAAAAATGCTCTCTTACATCCTTAGCCATCAGGAAATATGGCCGAGATTTTCAGGCCATCTCAGATGTGATTGGGAACAAATCAGTGGTACAAGTGAAAAACTTTTTTGTAAATTATCGACGCCGCTTCAACATAGATGAAGTTTTACAAGAATGGGAGGCAGAGCATGGGAAAGAAGAGGCCAATGGGCCCAGTAACCAGAAACCAGCCAAGTCCCCAGATAATTCTGTCAAAGTCCCTGAAGAGGAAGACGAGGTACGTTTGAAGCAGCACGGTCTCTTCTCTGCCGGACTCGGGCCCCTTTTCTAGTTGTTTCCCCTGATGGTCTTTTCAGCTGCAGAAATGTTTTAGGTTGTGGCTATGTCAGTAACTTGACTTTTGCCTGTTAATATCATCATATGTGAATGGAGTTCAGTCAACTTTTTATCACTGTGTATTATTTACATTTGAATTCCTGGACCAATTCCTGATTTCAGCCCTGGCCAGTTTGGTCAGTGGTTAGAGCATTGGCCTGGGGACCAGGGAATCCCTGGTTTGATTCCAGCCAAGGGTACATACCTTGGCTGCAGTTTGTCCCTGCCCCTGGTTGGGGTCGTGCGGGTGGCAACCAGTCAATGTGTCTCACTCGCATCGATGTTTCTCTCTCTCTCTCTCCCTCTCCCTCCCACTCTGTCTGAAGATAAGTGTAAAAAAATATCCTGGGGTAAGGATTAGGGGAAAAAAATTTCTGGTTTCCCGCAGCCACAGCATATCCCACATTACCAGTTATTTCTCTAAGCACAGTGAGAACTGCGCATGGAACAGGGAGTTGGAAGTGCCTGGGAGGTCAGGGAGAGCCAGCCTCATGCGCTGTGCTGTCCTCACACGGCGGGTTAGTGAGCTGGCTGGGAGTGCACGGCTGGCCGACCAGGAGCTCCAGGTCTGTCTCTGCTGCTCAGACTTTCAGCCTTCGCTGCTGTTTGGGGCCCGCTGGCTTCTGTATTGATGGGGACAGCCCTAGCTGTCGTGGTTGGCTGGGACTTCCAGGGTGGTGGCTGACCTAATAGTTTCCAGGGTGGCGGCACTGTGTCATCAGCCCCATCAGGGGAGGTTAGGCAGGAGGATTCCTGAGGCTGCAGGGACCCACCACACCCCCTGCTTCCTGTGACAATGTTGTTGCCATTTGCTTGCATGTCGCCTGGCCTGCCCTGCTGTGTGGTTGCCCCTCACATCCACAGAAGAGGAGAGGGGGCTGAGCACAGGGCAACATTCATTGCCCGTCACTTCACACTTGTATTTGTTCACTGATGCGGTGACGTAAGGGTTAATTTAGCCTTAAAACGAAAGTCATTTTCTCATCGAAGTCTTCCAACAACCATGTGGGGATGATTTGAAGTGGCCCGTTTTCTGTTGCCTGTGCTGTGCTCTGAAGAGCCTGGCTGCAGAAGTAGCCCAGAGGCCCGGCCTGAGCGAAGCGGAGGTGTGCCTTGTGAGCCAGAGGCACGCAGTGCCCGGCACCCGCGGGCCAGAACATTAAACATGCTGATTGTGTTGGAATGAGACTCTCTAGAGCCTCCTACCAGAAAATCTTTGTAATAAGCGTACAGAATTTGTAGTACTGCCAGTGTGAGTGGCTCCCCTGAGTCACACCCATGAATGGACCAGCCTGCAGCCCTGGAACACAGTAGCATCTGAGCAAAACGAAGGTGTCTCTATCTTTCGGCAGTGATTTTGTCCCAGTGCTCATTGCCCCTTTAGCAAATGGACTTCCTCAAGCCCTGGACTCAATGTAGGAAGTTTTGAAAGGTGAGACTTCCTAGAGACAGAACATTAGGATTTGCCAGAAGGAAAGCTTTCTTCCACATGTGTTTTCCAACTTCAGCCCCAGGAAGCAGAAATAATGGCAAACCGGCTCTTCCCTCTGCAAATCTCACCAAAGCTGGTGCTGTCAGTTCGTCATAGAAAGGTGACAGGCAGTTCAGGGTGTCAGCTCTCTTCTTCATCTTCTCTTGCCTGGGCCATGTACTGACAGGCTGAGAGCGGTCGAGTCCTTACCTTCCTCTCTGATTAGTCTAGAACGTCCATCCTTAGTGGTGCACTTCCCATGTGGATTGTTTGTTCTCTGCCTCCGGTGGGGGTGACCATCCCTGGGTCCATGTACCCACCCTGCTATGGGGCATGGAATCGCCCAGCCTACCTTTAATGTGTAATCTTTGTTTCCTTTAAAATCCTTCGCCTCACCCTGGCCGGTTTGGCTCAGCGGTTAGAGCATCGGCCTGCAGTCTGGAGAGACCCGGGTTCAGTTCCCACTAAGGGCATGTACCTCAGTTGCAGTTTGTCCCTGGCCCTGGTTGGTCGTGCGGGTGGCAGCCACTCGATGTGTCCCTTTCACATCGATGTTTCTCTCTCTCTCTCTCTCTCTCTTCCTCTCTCTTCCTCCCACTCTATCTGTACAAAAAATATCCTCGGGTGAGGATGAAAAAAAAAAATCCTTCTCTTGCCCAGCTCGTGTGGCTCAGTGGTTGAGTGTCGACCCATGCACCAAGACGTCGCTGGTTCAATTCTCGGTCAGGGCACATGCCCAGGTTGTGGGCCTGATCCCCAGTGGGGGGCGTGCAGGACGTGACCAATCAATGTTCTTTCTCATTGATGTTTCTATCTCTGTCTCCTCCCTTCCTTTCTTTAAAATCAATAAAGAAAAAATGTTAAATCCTTCACCTCTTTGGTCATTTAAAACACACCACAAATTCTCTATCACACACACTGTCTCACATAGTCTCTGTCTGTGGGGTCCTGCCTGCGCCTTTGCCCTCAGACTGTGTGTGATGCCCCAAGTCCTGGTGCAGGGAACCCTCCCTTAGTATCCTTGACAGGTTCTGCACCTTCAGTCAAAACGCCTAACAAAACCAGTCTCACCACAGGCTAATTGTATAAACAGTGAAGAAGCTCTGGACCCCTCATCTCCTTACAGGGAGAGGACAGGGGACCTGCTCTTTTTCTTCAGAGCTTTGAGATCCAGAGTTCTCCGAGGGGCCTCGGGTGGTTCGGGGTGGGGGAATGTCAGAGAGAGCACGGAGTGCTGACACTGACAGGTTGAAGAGCAGATATGAGCCTCATTTAACATGGGCGAGTGAGTCTGTGTATTGCTAATGAGGAGTCTCCTGATTTGACTACCAGCAGTTCCCATAAATTGACTTCACCTGAAGGAGCAGCATGTTTAGGTTCTGGATCGTAGCCTGGTTATTTCCCAGCGATAAGATACCATGAGGAGAGCAGTGAGCCTGAGGCACACAAGTCACCTGTAGGTTTGGAGTGGAGCTTTTTAAAGGATCCTGCCACCATGGGGATCTTAGGTGTCCCTGTGTCCCAGGAGGAACCAGGGGCTGTTTGTAGACTCAGTAGGTGCCATGGCAACTCCTCCAGCCAGTGCTAACATCCTGGAGCATGACTATTTGCTAAGCATATGCTAACTGCCCTTTTCAGGGGTTTTTATTTAACTTGTGTAGTAGACACCATAATTGTGTATATTCTGCAGAAGAGGAAAGTGAAACTCAAAACAGTAACCCGTGTAAGGCTACACAGCTGGGAAGTAGCAGAGCCAGGCTTGGCACCTAGGACATCTGGAGGCCATGCTGCGCAGCCACTTCCTTGCCCACCCTTAGAGACCGTTTGCTGTACCCTGTGTTTGCAGGGTGGCTAGCAGCACCCTCTCCGCACCCCCCTGCCTCCCCCCCCCCCCAAGGATACTGGAATGAGCCATTTGTATTGTTTCCTGCCCTTCAATTCTTTTTTCTTCTATTCCTCAGGCCGCTTCTGTTCTAGATGTCAGATACGCGTCTGCCTCCTGAGAGAGACTGGTAGCTTCCAGTGCTCAGTGTGGACAGCTGTGTCCCCAGGATATCAGGTATTCAAGACATCACCTGCCATCTGCATCACATCTCTGTGGACAAGCAGCTATTACCAAAAAAGGCATATACTTCCGGCCCTGTGCTGCATCTGCCTTAATGCTTTGCTCGTTCCTCCATGTTGGCGCCGCTTCCCAGAGAGCTCCGTGCATCTCCCCCTCTGCCTGCGAGCCGGGGATCTCATGGCCTGCACGCCCCTGACTCTGGGACCACCTCCCCAGCGGAGCTCCGGAGCCCCACCAATGGCAGCTCTTCCTGTCAGCAGCTTCAGAACAGGTAGCCGACTCCGAAGGCACGACTGTTCCTGCATGGCCTGCAGTTTCTACTTTGTGCATAACGTCATTTCCAGCTACTATGACTGTTGGCCTTCTAGAAAGTTTCTCTTGTTCTTTTCTGAGGCATCCACCTAAGTGAGATCATGCTCTTTTGGAAATCACAGTATATTGGCAGACTGCATTACAACCTTATCGTGCCAAACATCCGGATTCAACTCCCATTTCCCTGAAAGTAGGGTGTGATTATGGTTTATAAGTCTAGTTCTCTTAACTCTCTCCCTTCTGCCTTCCCCTTTGGTAGAAAAGCTGATTCGCAGCAGCTTTGGACATGTAGCTTCAAAGGAATGTGGACCTCAACACTTTCTGCCTTGAGCTCTCAGCATCACAACCCCAGGATGAGTGCCACCCTCTTCCCGATTCCCCACCACTACCACCCAACTCCAAGAGATTGGTCTACACACTGTACCTGGTGCTTGTACATTTGGAATTGGTGCCTTCTCCTTTTGGCAACCATGTTCTCAATCCTGTTCTGTTGTAGTGTCTTATTTCTTCTTTAATGTTTATTGCTTGCCAAAGATGACATCACCGAGATTGGAGACAGGAAAGGGGGCTGCAGATTCTGACAGAGCAGACTTCAAATGTCAGGTTAGCTCAACAGGGTGTTAGCATAGCTGGCGAGGGTTATGAAAGTACATGTTTGTCCCCATCCTCTTGGTGTGCCTGGCCTTCTCATGTCACTCCACATGCCCTTTGGTCCTTTGTGCACTGATGTGACCACATAAACCCCGCCCTCTCCACAGTGTAGCACAGAACAGAGAAGGGATCAGCTTGTTGGTTCTAGTGAGCCCAAGATGAAAGGGAACAGCCTACAAAGCGGTATGTACTACCTTTTGGTTGGACTGGGAACAAGGGAAAATTTCTAATAACTGTCCCGAGACTTCCAGAATCACTTCGATTCTCTCAGCAGACCGTGGACCTGCCGAGGGGCTGAGGGTTAGACCGGCAAGCTGCGTCTGATGTCAGCCGTTCCCGCCCACAGTCAGCCCAGCCTGCACTAAACATGCTAAAGGAGCTTCTTGTTGTTTTTGCATCATTTAAATATTTTTCCTGCTTTCAATACCAAAAAGAAAAAAAATGTGATGCTTTAAGGTGGCATAAACAATTCTTAAGTATTTAAAATATGCAATTAAAATTTGATGTTTTGACTCTCAAGCACCTTGCCTTTTTTTTTTTTTTTTAAGTCAGCTGATTTTAGGAAAAGGGTCAGCTAGAATCATAGCCTGTTTGGAATTGGACCTTTTTTTTTTAAGGAATCTGGACAAAGGTCATTCAGAAAAGGGGTAGTAAAATGGGACTTTCTCAACTTTCATCACTTGTCCCTGCACTGGGTGTCTGTGAGGCAGGTGACAGCCAGTGACCAGCATCGGGAGGGCAGAAGGCAGGCACAGCCCACTGTCCTGCCCAGACAGGGGAGCACGATAACACTAGAAGCCACGAGGGTTTGGTTTTGTGTGCACCGCAAGCCTGCTGTGTGATTGCAGACAGCAGGACGGCATGGGGGGAGGTGCGTACGTTTTGCACATCGCTGGGGACACGAGGCCTGAACAGGAGCTTTAGTTTCTCCTTCCTTACTTCTTCTCACGACCTCCTTCCTCTTCACAGAAGCAGGAGGCAGCTTCCTGCAGGGGGCTCTCTCTCTGCCAGGTCTGTTCCTCTCCTCACGCCCAGGCTATTTTCCTTAAGAACTGATCCCTTCTGGCAGTGCCAGAGAGCTTGATGCTAGTTCTTCTGTGGCGAGGCAGGCACGCCCAGTGCCAGGCCTGTCTGCGCTGCACCGAGCCCTCGCTCGCTTTCGGGCACCGAGTGCTCTTCAGCCCTGAAGAGGCCCTGCGCTGGTCTTCTCGCCGGCCCAGTGGCTGGATCCAGGCTCTGTGTCTAAGGAGAAGGGGCATGTTGTTTTCATTGGCAGAAGGAAGAGAGAGTTGTCTGCCTGACTGCCTTCGCTGTGGTTTCACGAATAAGATAGCACTGTGTTTTCAACTGTTTCGTTACACTGTCTTTGCAATGATGTAAATGCAAGAAATCACTTTGCTAAAAGCGAAGTGACTGGTCTTATTTATGTGAAGACCCTTGTAAACATATCAAGACTTCGGTGCATCAGCAGTCGCCCCTGGATGTGTGAGGGTCCGCAGTGACATCTGCTTCGGATGCAATGTTCCCTTAAGCTTTGTCTTCTTAAAAATTATCAATGTGAATGTCATAATTATATATATATTTTTGTGAAAGATTTCTCCTAAGTATAAGTTATTGTGCAAAATATAGTACCATTGAAACAAATGATAGTTTTAGTTTAGAAATCCTAAAAGATATAAATTGTATTGCATATGCATTAAAAGTTTGTTTTATTTAATTTTATGTAGCTGTGTAAAGTGTTAGGTAAATTTTTTCACTTATCCATTGAAATACCTTGTTACTTGAATGTCGTGTTGGCTGGTTTGAAACGGTGATCAGTTCTGTGATGTAGCTCTTTTAACCAGGAAGCCGGCCGCCTCCCGTGCTGACAGCAAGCGCGTCGGGGGCCAGCGGTCAGGGTGACACACCACTGCACTGGCTCACTGAGCTCGTGTGACCCAGACGCCAGTCCCATGAAATGGTTTCCGATCGTTTTTAACCTATAAGACCTGTGATGGTCACAAACCTCTAATCAAAACATGAGTATGAAAATATAGTTGTTTTATAGCTTGACTATGGTGGATTAATTAAGCAGTTGTTTTCTGTGTATATAAAGTTTCCTCAAATACCACACACCACTTAAGTGTGCTCATTGTCACTTTAAATTTCAACTACCCCTATTTTTGTCTTTCTGAATATCAGATGTACTATTGGTATAATTGCATACCAAAAATAAGCCAAACAGTGCATTACACTAACTGGACCCTGCTTATGTGAGCACAGGAAAGGTGGAGCCAGCCTAGTCGGGAGCCTCATTTTCTCTTTCTAGCCTGTTTCTAAATCCACTGACCCAGGATTCAAGCTTTTAATATCAAGTGAAACTTTGCCTCACATTGACTCCAGGAAGTTAGCTCATCTGAGCAAGGCCGTGCAGTGCTCAGAAACAAGCCCCCTCCGCGCTCCCTGGTCTCGCAGCTTTTCCTAGTCAGACAAAGCACAACTGCAGTAGCGTCACAATTCAGAAGGAAGGTCAGTACAGTCTATGCATGTTGTATGATAACGAGTGTTTACAGCCGCCTTCTCCTAAGCTAACTTTGTCCTGGAGCGGATGGATTCCATTATGTAGACTTATCAACTTTGCTAAGTGCTTTTTAGATTGCTTAAAATTTTTTCAAGATTTTAAAAGATGTATAAGGTTAAGTTTGAAAATATAATGGAAATGCTGTATATCTTTTGAAGTGATAAAATCCACGTTGGGATTTTAAAGAAAAGATGATGTAATAATGCTGTGTAAGTAATATTTTAATGTCTCTCTGCCTGTTTTCTATTTCAGTACATTCATTACGGTGAATGTCCATAGCATTATAATTGCTTAGCCATTGAATGATAACATTTGTTAGTGGAGATTGGAAAATTTATTTGTGAAATTCTGCAGAATTCATTTTTCTATTTCTAATATTTGCTGAAGTTAAATAAAAATTTTCAAGCCATTGATGTAATAAAATATGAAACAAAACAGTTTTCTGCACCCACCCCAATCAGAGCAGCACCCCACCCTGATACAGCATGAGCTTTATCCTTGCCTGTGCCTTGGGCTCTAGGGTTTGAATGTGTAAATGCCCCAGAAACCCACCCCCCTATGGAGACCCACGGCCAGGGGTGCCTTTAGCTTTCCGCCTCAGCTCTGCGTGAGCTACACTCCTTTTTGTATGTGATAATCTTATGGTTGGGACCGAAGTGAGGTGCAGGAGTTCATCGAGTTCACGCGAATTTAGGGTTTACGCTCTGAAGGGAAGGCGTGTGTGTCTGTTTCCAGCTCAACCAGGCTATCTGGCCGGGATGCTGGCCTCTGGACTAGGGCAGCCACTAGGGCACCTGTGGGCGATGTGAGGGACACTAGCGGCCGCCAGCCATCTCTGTCCTGTTTGCCAGCTGGAATGTAGGTTCGCTAGATAACTACCGTGAAATCTGGACTCTCCCATCCAGTGTTGCCCCAGACAGCTCTTAACGTTCGCGGGTAGGTCCCTCTGTTGTGACTGCGTAGTGTGGGCGTGACGTGACTTCCGTGTCCCTGGCCTCGTTGAGACAGCAGCACCAGCTCACCCAGCTGAGCACCAAGGAGAGGATGCCCAGTGCTGCCTGGGGGCATTTGAGGAAGGAAATGACCTGAGGTCAAAGGCGCGGAGAGCTCCATGTGACCTAGGGAGGTGATTCATGGATAGACCAGAGGGAGCATTGTGGAGACCAGAGCCCGGGCTCTCCTGCCATGCGCTGGAGGCAGAGGGAAGCCAGGAGGCGGTGCAGCAGTGTGTGGAGAGGTGAGGGGCCAGGGCTGGGGGGGGGGGGGGGCAGGGGGACGCTGTCGCTGCTGCTGGGTGGGCCTGGCTCTTACTCTGACCTAAGGTGGGTGGGGAGGGGTAGGAGACAAGTCATGGGTCCCCAAGTCAAGGGCACATGCAGAGCATGGGTCAGACCCCCTCCTGCAGACTAGAGGTCAAGGACACCAGTGTACAGGCCGCCTCGTGCCACACCACACAGCATCTTGGCCTTGCTGCAGCCCCAGCCTCAGGCAGGTGTGCCTGAGCATTCTTGGGGGGTGGGGACCCAGCCTGGAAGTACAGGGAGGTCAGACTCCAGGGCGGGCAGGGTCCTCTGCACAGCGGACCCACTCTGCAGGGCTGCACCTCCTCGCCACAGTGGTGACCAACTCAGAACTGCTGCTGTGCCCTGGGGCCACCTGACAACCCAACTACGCACACACTCTCCTCACAACCACTGCGCCTTCTGGTGGGTCTAGGCCGAGACAGCACACAAGTGAGAGGACTTTGTCTTTTCCCCACCAGCCTGTCGCAGACACGGGAGGGAGCGACAACTCCCGCGCGGAGCTCGGATCCGGCCTCCTGGTCAGGCCGCCCCGGGCATGCGCAGAAAGAGCCCGCCCGCTGCTCGCCAGTGCTTGGCCCTCCTGGGTCGCCTCTCGTGGGTGCTGTGCCGGGTCCCCAGGACGGGCGAGGGGCTGGCTGGGGCGAAAGAGATAGGTGCACTCGCCCAGTGGCCAGCAGGTGCACAGACCATTCTCGTTCCTCTCCGCAGCTGCCTCGTGCCTGGGCCTCGTGGGTGATCCTGACGCGCTCTGGTCCTGACCCGGGTGGACCAGCCCCCAGGACAACCTCCCCGGTGGCTTCCCACCCACCTGAAGCAGCCTTGTCTCCTTCCCCCTCGAAGCCTCACCGCCCAGCAGGGGCTGCGGCCTGACAACTGGCACCAGTGACAGCCCCGCCCCCGCCCCGGCCAAGTTCCCCTGGCATGTCCCCCGTACCTTAGGGCGCCGTGTCCAGGACTAAGGTCTCTCCCAACGTTTTCCTGAGCCCTTTTCCTCGCCGTATCGTCTCCGAACTAGAACCACTGACATCGCCTGCCTCTGGAATTTGCACCTCTCCCTCGGGTACTGTGCCAGTGGCCGCTCAAGCCCTTCCCAGGCTCCCGAGTTGGTAACTGTTGTCTCCTAGCTCACCTTGTCCCCAACACCCCTCTCTCGTTTCCTCACTCACTGCCACCCCCACCATAACCAGGGCCCTTGCCTGCTTCAAACGCTCCATTTGCCTTCTGGAAAAGCACACAGTCCTTTGTTCTGTCTTACACCAGGTGACAGTCCTACCGCAGGTGCATGTCAGTGCTTGTCTCTGCTGCTGTGCCCGCCCCTCTGCCTTGGGCTGCCCCGCCCACCCCTCCACCAGACGGAACCGGAACCGTTCTCAGGGTTTCTACCACTGGCCTCTGTCGGCACTGCACTTTGTACTACACTATAAAGAAATTCTAAACGTTTATTTTTTTAATTTTAAATAGGCAACCAGTCTACTTGGAATAAAAGGCACACAGGAACGGTCAGTTCCCTGTCTCTGTCCTGTTCTCTCCACAGGCCACCGTTACCTGTGCCAATCGTCATTTTTCCATACAAACAACACCCTACCAGGGGTGGGGAATCTTTTTCCAGCCA